GAGCTCTGAGTGCTAACAGCTAACGGCTGATGTTGGTTTTCTGTGGTTCGCATTGAAGATGACGTCACGGCTCCACCTACACTGCGTTACTATAGTTACTGCCCCAGCTGCTAAACTGTAATGGGAACGCAGCATAAAGTGAGCCTGGCCTAACTACCGTACTAAGCCGCACGAGGCCCTGCAGTGGAAATGCGCCATTAGTGTCCCCTGTATCTCATTCAGTTCCTCAGTGAGTCCACTGGCTCTCTATTGAAGGGAATACTCAAACACAGTGTTGGGACTAACGCGTTACTGTAACGCCGTTATTTTTGGCAGTAGCTAGTACTCTAACGCATTACTTTTTAAATTCAGTAACTCAGTTACCGTTACTACATGGTGCGTTACTGCGTTAGTTTTTTTATATAGTCAACAGCCAGGCGAACAGAGATGAGAACTGTACTTAGGCTAAGTACAGTACTTGAGTAAATGTACTTAGATACTTCCTGTGTCACATGCGGAGACGGGCTGTGGGCGTGTTTGTGTTGTTTACTAACAAGACTATCATGGCGGCGGCGGAGCTCAAGTCTAGTTTCTCCACCTGGAGATATCCTCACTATTTCACTTTTGTCGAGCACAAAGAAAAGAAAGTTTCTGTTAAATGTAAGTTGTGTCCTGGCGGGTCAAAGATCTTATCTACTGCCCAAACCAGTCATTCAAATCTCTTAAAACATCTGCAAAAACAACATGCTGGGACGAAGCTAGTAGCTAAGACCACAGAGACTCAGCCGACGCCACTCCACCTCCACCTAAGCAACAGCGGCTGGATTTTAACCAAGGGACTGCTAGCCAGGGAAAAGTCGATAAAGCCATTGCACGGTATGTTGTAGAACACATGCAGGCTATTGCTACAGTGGAGTCACCCGCTTTCAGGGAGCTAGTTAGCATGATAGCATGTCCGGGCGGCACACGGCATATGGGACGGAAAACTTTTTCCAACTACCTGGAGAAAGAATATACAAAAATGGAAAGCCAGCTAATATCGATGCAATCCAGATTGCATATAATGCATGTCAAGTTGATCAACAGATTGTATTATTCTCCAATGCAATAACAGTACTGAAATGAAGGCTATAAGGGCATTAATGGGAGCCCTTTTTTTAAGTAACTATAACGTTACTTTTCACAGTAACGTTTTGAAATGAAGTAACTAGTAATGGTAACTAGTTACTGGTTTTCAGTAACTAGCACAACACTGCTCAAACAGCACAGCAGGAAAACTGTAAAACTCTCCGCTGGACTTCTTCCTCCATTACTTCTGCAGTCAGCCATTAACAGGGCCACGGTGCCGACCAGCGCCTCCTCTCTTCCCGCCATCCTCACACTGCTCTGCACACACTACAGGGCTGCTGGCTGATAACTGAGGACATGAAGAGGAGCCCTATTGAAAATTGAACAGAGCCAGCAGGAATCCAGCCACTACAATGGGGAGGATAAATAATTCACGGAGCACTTAAGTATTTCCTGTCTGACTTTTCTCTTTCCTCATTGTTCCTCTCACGTGCCTCAGACTCGCTCCCTCTCTCTCCTGCCTGTGGAGATATGATCCTTGGCTGTTTAACAGCAGACCGTTTTTCACTCACTGTGCTGCTTTTATGGACAAATAAGGCCCCATTGCAGGCATGGTTGCTTATAAACAATGCACTGTCTATTTACATGTAACACAGAGCGAGGTTTCTCCCATTTTCACACATTTTGTGTCAAGAGCAAAACTTTGGATTAGCAAGTATCTGCCGATGCGACCAAACCATGATACAGGGATACAACTCAATGTGTTGCCAATTGTCCAACATGAGGTGCATTAAGTGCAGTAGGTGTCATGTAGGAATGATGCACCTGCTTCTGGAAAAATGTATCATTTTGTTCATATTTTCCGCTTCCATCTTTAAGTTTAATGTCGGTTTAGGCGCCATTTATTTAAATATGATATTTAGGACCTTCTCTCAGAGCTAGACAAAGATGTATAAAATGTGTTAAATGAAGTGGGATATATATTGCAATTACTTTTCATTTCCTTTTTTTTTTCCTTGAGGACTTTTATTTTGAAATGTTTTATTTTTTTTAATTTTAGGTCAATCTTTGGTCCTCCTCATACAATAACATTTTCCAGGGAAATAAGTAATAAAAAATGCTGTCAGTTATAGTTCTTGAAAGAAAGAAGGACATCATCGGAATACTTTTTTCTAAATTGCAATCGGCCAAAAGAAATTGCAACATATTCGGTAAAGCCAATGCTTAAAGGAGGGGTTGAATCATCGCTGTCATTTTGTTCATCTCTATCCTACATGGAAAGGCAAAGATGTTCTCAGTAGAGTGGAGGAACAGATCACAAAACCTAATTAAGGCAGTCTGTTCATTCTCCACACATCAGTTCCGCTAACTGTCTCTTCCTACTTTTTGGAGAGGATCATTTTAATCTTCTCCTGAACACACACGTTCAGAGGAGGGTCTTCCTCCGCCCCTCCTCAGCCCGTTGGTACAGTGACCTCTGTGACCTCTGCGACTCTCCTTTAAATCTTCTCACAGGCTCAACAGGTCCTCATACTGTACGTGCATTGAGCAGAGCTCTCACTGAGGGAGTTCAGCAGGAGGTGACAGCTGTATCCCTCCACCCAGATTTCATCCTATTCCTAGAGCGTGTGTGGGTGGGGGGGTGGTGACCAGCTGTCCTGTTTAGATCGCACCTGTACTGAACTAGAACAGATCAATCTGCCGCCTGTCAGCTCTTCAGTCAGATCTGGACAGGATCATGTGTCAGCGCTCTCCAGTTGTGTTGTACAGATCACTGCCAGCTACGGGGTCCTGATGGCACTCTGAAATAACTGACTGTACGTCCTCTGCTATTTACAGATGTGTGCATTTAGATTCACATTTAGGCCCCAGCCCCACGGGGACGATTGATACAGTCATCGAATATTCAAAATTATTCAGGTGTTCGAATATGAGTTGTAAATTATTATTTCTTGGGAGCGGACATAACATTTAGAAGTGTGTGTGTGTGTAATGAAGCTTTAAGCTGGTGGGGACTCTTGTATACCACCGTTTTGTGAGAACCCTCCCAGGCTTTGTTCAAAAGTCGTTTAGTCTCAAGTGTTTGTTTTAAACGTCCCCATGGCCTTTCAAAGCTGATAAGTATTTAAGCAATTGAAATGCCTCCAAGAGTTGTTGTTCCCAACTAATGTTTACTTACTAAATCCTACACTAGTGTTTATTCTAAACCATCTTATCATACTGATTCCCTGATTCTATTTACCATATACCCTTAATAGCCTCGTGAAAAATGTTCACTGAGTTCATAATCCCCATACTAAAAGGAATAAGGAACATGAGTTGCAGAGGAGGAATATCTTTGTCA